AGAGAGCAGCCACCCTTACTCTCAGCCTCCCCAGTTCCCTCGATAGCAGGGGTAACCGATCATCCTGACGTAAAGAGCGGACTTTCCAAGCCCACACCCTGACTTCCCGCTTGAGGTTAACCCTCGGGTAGTCGCTCCGGGTGGACGCCACCTCTGCCCCCCCCGCCGACGCTGCCCCACATAAAAGGCGGCAGGCTGCGGGACCCTTCATCCACCTGTGGGGTTCCCTAGGGCTTTGCCCCACAAGCTTCATATTGGGCTGGCGGCTGCCACGACGCAGGCAGGACGAGGAGCTCCCATTCCTATTCCGCGCCCCAGCAGTCACCCTCCCAACGGGGCCCGCAGCCCGCCTCTCTCGCTGGGTAGGAGGGACATTACCCCTCCCCCTAGCATTTCCAATTAAGTGTGACGCTGCCAGTGGGTTATTCTCTGGGGGAGGAGGACTGACAAGGCCCATCTCCCCCGAGCCTCCCATTGACCCCAGGGGGCTTAGGGGCAGGAGTTAGTACAGGGCCAGGGCGTGTCCACACGCCGATGGGCCATGACCCTGTACCTCTGGGGCCTCCTGCTGCTCCGAGATCCCCTACAGTTCAGCCTGGGACCGCAAGGTGCCAGTTTCTATAGGTGGCCATGAGGAGGCACTGCAGAAGTCTCGATGATGGAGAGGCTATGAACTGGCAGGGGAGACTTATGCAGCGCTGCTCCCTTTTTCGCACAAGGCTAGCCAGCGGTGGCAGCTGCAAGCGAGAAGGCATGCAAGCACTAAACACTATCTAGGCTACCACACCATCGCTTCACACCACCCTGCGCATGAAGCACCCACCCATATATATATATATATATATATATATATATATATATATATATATATATATATATATATATATATATATACATATTTATATATATATATATATATATATATAATATATATATATATATATATATATACATACATAAACATATACATATATAAACATATATATATGTGTGTGTGTGTGTGTATGTGTGTGTGTATGTGTATGTGTATGTGTATGTGTATGTATATGTGTGTATATATATATATATATATATATATATATATATATATATATATATATATATATATTATATATATATATATATATATATATATTATATATCTATATATATATATATATATATATATATATATATATATATATATATATACTATATAAATCTATATATACATATATATATGTATATATATATACATACATATATATATATATATATATATATATATATATATATATATATATATATATATATATATATATATATATATATATATATATATATATATACATATATATATATATATTATATATATATATATATATATATATATATATATGTATATATAGTGTATATATATATGTATATATATATATATATATATATATATATATATATATATATATATATATATATATATATATATATATATATATATATATATATATATATATATATATATATATAATGTATATACTGATAGATAGATAGATATGTAGGTGTGAAAAATATTTTCATGCGTGTGTATACCTTAATATATAGAAAATATATCATAGCATACAAGACCCTTAAAATTACTTTATACAAAAAAAAAAAGCAATCTAACTGATCCGTTGAAGGGAAAAACAAAAGGTAAAGGTAAAAAAAACACAGAAGGTAAATTCTTCCTGCAACGAGTTTGCTAAACGTAGAAAATTTATATACAAAACAAATAAAAACAGTTCTGAATCAAACAGTTTGAGAAATAAACCTGTAGATATGAAACGAAACAAATAAAGTATATCTGAGACCTAATACTCAGCAATGATTACAAAACCGAGCGTCACAAATTGGACGGAAACATACCAGGCCAAGAAAGCAAAGGCGTATCTGCCACACTTGACAAAACTGA